TCAATGTCACATGAACCTCTCCCTTTATGTGAGTATGTATTACTTCCTCTGTTCCTTGAAAAGTTTGGTTTTCCAACTTGTTTGTCCGACAAAAGAGTTCTATTTTTCAATTTGCTTAGATATGTGTGTGTGTGTGTGTATTTTGCTCTCTATGACTTGTACCTTATTAGAATTAAGAAGTTGTAGACTCATCAAAGTGGACTCTTTTTATGGGAGGGAATGAGGGAGTATATACCATTTTAGAAAATTCAACCATGCCCTCGTCTCCCCTCTTTCAGGTATGTGGATACCTTCAACAGAGGTGGTGGTAATGCAACCAATTTGTTCCATTCACCCTCCGTTTCTTCCACCACAAAACCGGCAAATCCCGCCGCCAAAAAGTTTTTCGTTCCCGCACCAGTTGCTGTCTCTTCCGAACAGTTTGCCGCCAACGGCACTGCCACCGACAGCGCAACACAAGACGGCTCTCGTGCCGAAAACCACCTCGATTCCTTCATGTCCCCCGCCACATCATCATCTGACGCCATGAACATCCAAAGGTTCGGAAGCGTCGGGAATCTCTCGAACAACACCGCCGTTCCGAGGCCCGGCTCCTTCCCGGGACACACGCGGCGAACCGCCTCGTGGAGCGGAAGTTTCAGCGAGGCCGCGATGGCAGCCCCACCTCATCATCATCAAACTGCGAAACCGTTGGGAGAGGTGTTGGGTATTGTGCCTCCGTCTTCGTCGTTCATGATGCCCAACAACAATATGGATGGGTTGAGAACAAGTGGCAGTTCCGGTGAGGATCTTCACGAGGTTGAACTTTGATTCCCAGAAGAATCTGTAAATATTTATAAACTATGTCTTTTTTCTCCCCTTTTTCACAGTTCAGTGTGGGGCTGCCTATAAATGTTCCACCTTATATATATATATATATATATATTGAATTACTACATGTATTGTGTTGAAAGTTACATTGTGTTTATTATACTTGTAGCGATAGGTTTTTGTTGGAAAAAAAAGCTTAGCTCCCTTTTTTTCTTTAGAGTATTGTCATTATTTATGAAGAATATGACTGTTAGCAGCTACAAAAGTGTACATTTTATTTCATTTATTGGGGGTAAGAAATCGACACCCTATAGTGAATTGTTGTTTATGAGAATATTATGCATTTAAAAATTCAATGAAATGGACGATTTTATGTACTATATATTTAATTAAGCAAATAAAGTTGGATTCAACTTGGGGTTTGTCTGTATAGTGGCTTACCTAACTTTCAAATTTCAGCTATGTGCCCAGAAAAAGGCTCTCAATAACTGAAATAACATAACATGTATGGAGCAGGATATATTTGGCTTGGAGTCATAGAAAAGTGAATACATAAAAATTTCTACACATTATAAAGCAAGAATTAATTTAATTACGCATTTTATTATAACAAATTATCCAACCCTCCCTTGCTATAATTTAGCTAACAATTATATTATATTGTTTTTCCTATTATAATACACTCTTTATAATAATTATTCAATTATTATTTTATATTATAAAAATTTAGTAATAAGTATGTAATTTAAAAATAATAATTTCAAAAAACAATACGGAGTATTGTTTTACATACTTTAGGGAAAGTAATAAAATATACGGAGTATTATTTTAAATATTTAATAAATACCAATTAAAGAGTAGAGAAAAAAAATTACAAAAACAAAAAATTAGGGAGTAGAAGTAATTTTATATTTTGAGAAGGAGAATGAGAGAAAAGAAGAGAGAAATCATATATTTAATCAATTTTATGGTTTGCTATTTTTTGAGAGGCTTGTTATATATAACAAGCCAAAGTTAAAATTTACCAAGTATGATATACTATAGCAAGCCCCTTGGAGCACAAAAATTGAAATGGATTGCCAAATAATAACATTTAACAAGTCAAAACTCAATGGTTGGAGATGCTCTTAGGGATGAAGTAGGAGCATTTTTAACAGGAAGACTCTTCATTTTCATGCATTAGAGTGGCATCATCACGAGTGAACGCAAACTCTCCTCATCGGCATCGACAAATCGTCCACCATTATAATTCCTCGGCAAAAGCATCCACCGCTCGAAGAACGAGCGCAAGGCTTGCAGCCTCCCGCGCCTTGGTTCGTCGGCAGCGGTCATGATATGACACGTTTGGAAACAGAAAAGCCTCAAAGAATGGAGCATGTGATGCCAAACTTGACCAAAGGACTTGAAGCTAGAAACTAGTTTGAGAATGCAAGGACCTAACAACAAAAAGGTGATGGATGTGTGTAAACCATGAGATGTAGCTTTGAAGAGTTTTAGCTTTGCTAGTAGTAATATGTGCAACCCCATGACATATAGATATATATAGATGATATACTTAGTGAGGAATAATGATGCTTGGAGTGTAGTTGGTTTATATATATAGATGGTGAAACTCATTATGCATGTTTGGAGAGAGAGAGTGAGTGAAGTCATTTACCATATGAATAAGACTTAATTAGTTAAGACACTTAATTAGTTTGAGCACAAGTAGCGAAGTATTTGGAGAGAAAAAAATCCAAATCTTTGCTCATAATATGTGATCATGATATATATGGCCATACATGTGCTAAGTACTTGATTACAATATGTGAAGAAGGTTCAAGGAAATTACCCTACTTGACCCAACATAATTTGTTGGAGGAGATTATAGCTATAAAAAAAATGAACTCCAACCTAGGTCCTCTCAGTCCTGGCCCCTAGGTAGATGGTTATCTGAGAATAGGTAAATGAAAATTATAATTCTAGTGAGTCGAGAACAATGGGCAGATGTGGTGGCATTGTAATCTCCTATAGTCAACTTAACCCAAATTACGAACGAGTAGCTCATATCGCTACGAACATCCAAACGACTAGGAAGAATCGAATTCAAACCGGATGGGGTAAGAGTCACTAGATTAGGCAATAAGATACTTGGACGGAATCACATTAAAGTATTGAATCTAATTGATTACTTCATCCAACTTAAGAGCTTGTATAATGATTACTTTTCTCTTTAATTTCTGATGTGGGTAATTTAACATTTCTCAAGTGGATAACGGGATCATTTTCAATCTAACCGGTTGACACCTTGCAAATGGATTCCTCCTCCCTAAAAGAACACGAATTGCTGGGTAAAAACTTCCGGACAAACAAACGAGTTATATAGGTCACATGCCGTTCTCTATACAAACATCTGGGCTAAAGATTAATAAGTCACTATGAATAAACTTTTAGACGGACACACCTTAACAAATGAGATAAGCTAAAATTGGTGTGACACCAAGATGGTTGACAACCACAACAAACGTCATAGTATTATTTCAACTTTGTTGGGGCTCGAAGATAATTAAATATGAAATATTTGCACTAAATAGCACTAAAACTTAAGTCATTTCTCTAAATAGCACTTAAACTGTTTTATTATCTAAATAGCACTTAATAATGTCCATAATATCTAGTGATGGCAAAAATTTGCTTGAATAATGACTAATGCATAATGACTAAAAGTGCTACATTGGGAAGAAAAATACATGTGATGTTATTTAGGGAAAGTAATTATATTTTAGTGCTATTTAAGTAAATTCCTCATTAAATATTTACTCCCACGCGTGTAAAAAAATGCACATCAATGGTTTATCTTAGATTTTTAAGATAAACAATAGGGTAGAGTTAACCCAATAACTTCCTTAACCCATCAACAAATAAGTTGTGCTAAGGAATAAAGAATATATAAGTAATATAACGAACTTGGTCCACCAAAAAACTATCGCAGATACTCTCAATTTTAAAATGATGGGACTTGCGGGTTCCTAACACAAAACAAAAATGAGGGTACCTAGCAACAGGTTTTTGTTGGTCCACTAGAGGAGGCCTTGTAGCCTAATCAATTCATTAAGAAACAGGTAAGAAATAGATTATTGAAATTAAGAACTAAGAGTTTGTTTTTTTTCAATTTATTTTTGTTGCTTCTTTTATTAGAATAAGTTTAGATAAAAAAATATCTTTAAGTATAATTACATTCAGATTAAAACTTGTTCCAATCATCATATCAGGGTCAATCATATTACGTGAAGGGAAAGACCCTCAAGAGACCTCGATAGAGTCTAAAATATGGAGTAAAATAGATAGAGGATATAAATTGTATCTATCCACCCCAATTTGGATAAGAAAAATAAACATGCATGATTAAAAATGATGTAAAAAGAAAAAGGAAATAGTTCAAGACACATAAATCGCTTATAAATAAAAAATAAATTTTTATTTGAGATAAATGAAAGACCTTTTCATTAAACGTGAGTGTAAAACATATATTTGATGTCATGGATAGAAGAAGCCAAAAGGACTAATAAGGACAAAAAAATTCTCATTATACCTTTAATTCTCATTTGATTTTTTTACAACACTTCAATGTAATAATTTGATCATTAACATCTCAATTTATATACAAAGTATATAAACAAAGATTATAATAATATGATATTTCAAAACTCCTTCTCAAAATTAATCAATTAATATTAAATTTATATTAAAATTCAATCTATTTATCAGTAAGTTGTAATCAAAATTTAGAAATGTTGACAAAAAAAGAAAATGGGAGGGAGGGAAGGAGTAGAGCGAGGAGGGGAAGAAGAGCCAGAGAACATTTAGGAAGAAGAAGAAGAAGGTATTAGCTTGGCACCGAAACATTCGATCCCTAACAACGTTAATTGCTTTCTTCTTAATCTTTTCAACAACTACTAACGAAAGCATGGAATTTGATGCCCTAATTTCCTCCACAATGTCCGCCATTGCTTCCCCTTTCCCATCTTCTCGGGCAACTTGCTTACATTGCTTCTCATCATCATCCTCCTCCTTCTGGCCTTCATCTTCCCCTCGGCTAAATTGTACAGTGCTCGGTATGTTTCTTTATCCCCCCTTTTTATATCCCTCTGTTACTTAAGCTTTAAAGAACTTCGTGATTTAAGAGTCTAATTAAGTTCAGTATTAGAACTGTTTCACAGAAAAATGAGTCTTGATCAGATTGTAATGTATGTTTCGGTTTATGAAGTTCGAATCTTTGTAGGAAAAGAATTATGGGTATTGACCAAATCAGCAATAGAAATATTTTTTTTATCTTTTTTATTCTTCTCAAACTGTAACAATTTCCCTTTTTTGAAATGCCAAATTAGCATTATTTTTATTGAAAGCACCAGATTAGCATATGAATTTGGTATTTTTGAAATACCTAAAACTTTTTATTCTTGGACAAGAAAAGGTAATACTGAGTAATAGTTGTTAATTCTGAGCTAAAAAAAATGATAGGTGTGGCTAACTATAGTAGTACTAGTTTTGGTTAATGTTTTGGGGTGGTGTTAGATTAAACCAGGCTTACATGGATAAACAAAACTTCCCAAGGGACATATTCATGGGAAGAAGTAAAAAGTCCTCTAATCCTAAGGAAGGTTAGTAGAAGGTTAGTAAGTCACTTTCTAAAACTTTTGCATTCTTGCTGCAGTTGAAACTCCCTTGTTTTACGTGCAAAGGTCCAAAGTACATAATGATGAGGCTTTCATTCTGTCGAAAGAGAGGCATGTCAAAGAGCATAAGCAGGGATGCAATTCTGCGTGGGTGTCATGACACTACGGATAAACAAAGAGTTGAGGAATTTCGTACCTTTTTATCCCAAGAACTTTCCCTCGCAGGGAAGGAACCCGATGATCATACCATCTTAAGGTATCCTTATGCCTCCATCTGTGTAATGGTACAACATATAAAGTGAGGAAATCCATTTTGGGAGTCCTACAGTGCTCCATTGGATCCCAATGTGATTCTTACCCCCTAACCTCCCCTTCTCAACCCCCTATCCCCCCATTTTGGTGACAATCCATTGTCAAATATATTTGACAGTGGATTGTCACTCACATGGAGGCTGGGGTGGGCTAGGGGGTTTGTGGGGAGTGAAAGAGGTTTGAATCACTTTAGAGTCGAATGCTGTACCGTACCCTAGGACCCTCAAATGGATCGGTGTCATATTATGACACTAACCCTTGGTACTAAAAGAACCGGCCTAAAAAACACGTGTTCTGATAGAAGCTTGATGCATTTACTACCCAAAACTTCATAAGAAGTAAGAGTATCTTATAATGTAAGATGTTTTGCTTCTGCTTGATTGACACAGGTTCCTCAGAATGAGGGGCTTTGACAAGGAAAAAGCAAAAGAAGTGCTTCTGAATTACCTCAAATGGCGAGAGGAGTTTGAAGTTGACAAAGTCTGCAAAGTTAGTTTTCATTGAAAACTATATACATTCCAGTCTTTCTTTATGATGATACATGAAACATTGCATAGTAATATTTGAATATCAGATATGCTTAGTTTTTGGTAGTTTTCCATGCTAAGGGCTATGTGAAAAACTTAAAAAGAAAACATGTTTTTAACTACAAGGATGAATAACAGTAAAAAAAAGGAGTAACTTGAGAGATATGAACCATTGCAGGAATTCAAGTTTGATGAATACGAAAAGGTGAAAAAGTGTTACCCTCATGGCTTTCATGGAGTAGATAAACATGGCCGGCCAGTATACATTGAAAGGATCGGAATGGTGGATGTTCATAAGCTTCTTAAAGTCACAACACTTGAGAGATTTGTCAAGTATCACGTGACAGAACAAGAAAAGACTCTGAATCTGAGATTTCCTGCTTGTTCTGCTGCTGCCAAGAAGCATATAGCCTCAACTACAAGCATTTTTGATGTGAAAGATGTGGTTAGTTAGTATCTATATATATATATGCATGATTTCTTTGTGTTTATGCACGAAAGCAAGTATTGGGAAATCCTCACATCTTGAGAGCTCTTTGGAGATGAATTATGCCCAATGCTTATTCTTAACAAAAGGTCTTTTCTGGCAGGGAATGTCTAACTTTTCAAAAAATGCAAGAAACCTCTTTTGGAAAATCCAAAAGATAGACAGCTGTTATTATCCAGAGGTAGGCCTAGAAGAAGAAGAAGATTTTCACTTCTCTAAAATGACCACGGTTCTTTTGACACCACTCATGGGTGTCATATTATGACACCCATGCCATTTGAGGGTCCTACGGTGCTCCATTCGACCCCAAAGTGGTTTCTACTCATCTAAAACACACATTAAGTAAAGAAAATTAGCATCTTCTTCGATTGCAGACGCTGCACCGGCTTTTCATCGTCAATGCTGGACCTGGATTTACGCTCCTCTGGAAGCTAATAAAGCCGCTTATTGAACAACGCACACAAGTGAAGATCCAAGTAATAATATGAATTATCTCCCCCCCATTCTGTTTATTTAAACATCCTTTTTACTTCCAAGTGGGGGGGGGGGTAGAGTACACACACCTCCCTAGACCTTACTTTTTGTGAAATTTTACTGGGTTTGTTGTTGTATTTGGAAAGAGAAAAAAATATCTTAATAAAACACAATGTGTTACACTTATAGGTGCTTGAAGACATCAAGAACCTAGCTGAGGTTATTGATCCGAGGTAACGACCACTTATAGCTTTGCTGTAGAAAGGTTTTTTTTCCGCTATTTGTTAAGGTTTCCTAGCTGTTCGTTGGTCTCGCAGCAACCTTCCAACATTCTTGGATGGCCATTGCACATGTACTGAATATGACGGTTGCCTCTTCAGTGACAAGGGACCCTGGAATGATCCCAATATAATAGATTCCCTACAGGTTCAAAATAATTATTTGCAAGAATGTTTTTTATGACATGCGCGTGCGCACAGACACACGGACAATCTTTGGGTGAAATATGACAAGTTTTCATTTAGGGAATGCGCGACGCAGAGGAACAACGCGAAAATCATATGTCCACAAGAGATGTGTTTGGCTATGATGCTGTAAGGAAACATTGTGATTTACTACTATATATCTGAATGATACAAAACTTATACTTCTTTAGGGGTTTCTTGGAAGCGACCTCTCTACTTTTGAGTAGCAGTAAGGTTTGTGTTCACACATCCTCTCCAGACCCTACTTTTTAAGGGATTTTACTGGGTTTGGTTTTTTTAGGAACAGAGGGAGTACTATATACTTATATTGCTACAATATTAAGCATTTTGTGGATACAGGAGAATCTGCACATAAAAGACGTCTATGATGTGACGCCAGAAAGAGCTCCCGGCTTCAGGAAGCCCGAGGAAGCGCAAGTATCTCATCTGCCACTCGTAACGCAGAAAATCCAAAGAATTGAATCCGTGATTTGCGACGCAAATGCAGTGAGTGACCACTTTTTTTGTAGTTTATGTTTCCTTTTGATGAAAATATTTTGATGAATTAGTTAGTTGTCACATTTTGGTAAAATGTAAAAAAAGATGAAACAAACAGATAATCGAAGTCATGGAAACTAGATTACGGTTGATCTTTTTTATATGATGCAACCCAAGGGCCAAAAACATAACGTCGTGATTTTGGTGGCGGCTTCGCGTCGGGAGTGGGCCCCACCCACATTTTTAGCGCGCAGCCGTTAGTTTCAATGTGTGATGGGGGGGAGGATCTAAAGTGTGATTTTTTTTTGTTCCTCAGAAAATCCAGACATTGGAAGCTGCACTTAAGGATACTAAGTTGGTCAGTTTCTCAAATCTCAAATGGTCTTTGCCATCATTTTTCTTGTTTTTGCTAACAACTAACTAAATCTCTCTCTAATTCACCCATTTAGGTTTTGCAAGGACTTGTAGAGCACATGGAAGATTTAAGAGAAATGATTATAGTAACAAACAATGCAGCCTAAAGTTGTCAAATTGTACTTGTTTTCAAGTCTTTATGCATGTAATTAAAAAGACTTTGAGGTTCAATTTCAAAATGGGCATTTCACTTTAGTTTGCTCCTTTGTGTGTTTCAAGTCTTTTAACTAACCATGAACTGATTTGATATGGCTTCCCTCTCTTAGCATATCAACCCTTAGATCAAAATTTGATGGGTGAGATTTAATATTTTGATCAACAACTGAGTTTTGTATCTTTGTCTAAGTTCATATATAAGAGCTAGCTTGGAGATCTTTTGCTTATTTATTACGCCCTCCGTCCCAAATCGTAGTATGGAACTGATTTGTTTGCTACTACTTTTGCTGGATCGTGATTTACCTCCTTCCACATATTCGTCGGGCCAGTTGTCGGGGCTATTGGGGTTGGAGATTCAGCCTTTTGCAACAAGAAGTTGTTTCCAAATAACTGTTGGCTTGAACATAAGGTCGAGCAATAAAGAAATTATTTTCAAATTACTCTCAACTCAAACATAAAAGTAAGGATAAAGAAAATACATTAGCACGAAAAGAGAAATAGAGAAATTATTTTCAAATTACTCTTGACTTACGCATACCAACACTAGTAACAAACCCAAACTACATAAAATAGACATGCAGAAACTACAAATTAAGGTAAAAGTCTTACTATCATCTCCAAACCTATGTGTTTTTATTTAAAACCATATCATCGTTAAGATCTTAAAGTCAATAATCTTGTCTAATTGATAAGAAAAATTCACACGAATACTTCCAAATTTGGCTGATTATACAGTCAAACAATATCAAAATAAAACTATAGATATATTGGACTATAATTTTTTTTTATAAAAGAAAACAAGAGGCCATGGAGTGAAATTCATATAGCCCCACGGCTATCGTACGAAAATCATATGCAAAAACAAAAAAAGGTTCAATGACACTGTTGACTTGAAAAATGAGACTAGTATATATTATTTGATCTATAAATTGTTCAATCAAACTTGACCCATGTGGTCTCAGTACGACAGGTTAGAATTAATCACAAGAACAATGACCAAAATTCCATCCACAAAAAAAAATAAATGCACAGCTACTTGTCTTTTAAAAGAAGTAAATTAATTTCCTAATTAAGCCATAACTTTGATTATGTGAACATAATTAATTATAGATTGAGTCAAAGGGGATAATACAGAACTAAACTACTACTCGCTCCATTTTACAAAATACTTTCGCCTACCCTCATTTCGTAGTTTATTGTAGGTGGAAATTGTTTTGAAAGTATTTTAGACATTTTAGGTGGAGTAAAAATATTTTGTAAGGTGCGCAAACAACACTGGACGAGTCCGAAAGAGAGGTCCCATCGATCATTCGTCAGATCGGATATGCTTTACAAAGAGGGTCGGAGTTCTGGCAGCCAAGAAAATCCACGTTACATACAACAACCACACGCAGTGACGCAGTAGAGATGCAGATGCCGCAGTGGGCACGTGGGCGAACAAGGTTAGATAAGATTCAAAACAAAGTTACACGAGAGGTTGGATAAGATTCAAAACAAAATTAATGCGATCGGAAAATTTGACAATGACATTTTGTGTCAAATCTAATTTATTACTCCCTCCGTCCCAAATTATAATGTCTGTTTACTATTCACATGGTCAAACTTCATTCACTTTCTTTCTCTATTTTCGTTAACAATTTGATAAAATAAAATATTATTGTCACTACTAGTTTTGTAGATCTTTTGATGTAGTTTTTTAATATGTAATTTTTATTTTTTAATTCTATACCATTTGTCATATAAAATGCTTTGAAAATAATTTCAGGCAAACATCGTAAACTGAAACAGGCGTTATAAAATGGGACGGAGGTAGTAAAATATAATGTAAATCGTTGTGTACAACTTGAGGTACATCTCTGGGTTAGAAATAGTTTTATTCATTTTGCAAAGAGGCCCCTATTTATTTTACTCCCCCAGTGAAAAACATTTGGGATTTGGGTGTAAGTGAAAAAACAAAGAGAGATCCATTTGGGATTTGGGTTCACCGTACTCAACCAAGTACTTTCCAAAATAAGAAAGAAAACTTACACACATTTAAAAATTATATTAGAGTTCCATTTTAAAACTTACACATTTATAGATTACATCATATTTTTGTTTTCAACAAAACACTTCCTTTTTTCATTAAAATAACTAATATATCGAATTAAAATCAGTGCAATATACTCTATCCATTTTGCATTGTTATAATAAAGTATTTAAGTGATTTGTCTCTCTTCAAACATAACGCTCTTTGTTCAAAGCCATCTAAGCTCCCCATTTTTTAATGGAATCTAAGCTACACATTTAAATACTCCCCCGTCCCCGAATATTTGCCCAGTATTCCTTTTTGGGATGTCCATCAATATTTGTCCACTTTCATTATATTGAAAGAATAAATAAATAAAATGTCTTTTATGCCCTCAGGCCTCACATCTTCAATTCTCGATTCTCCTTAAATCTTTAATCCTCTTTCCTCTCATCTTCTAAGTCAATCTTTGCTGACATATGGATGTCGATCTTCTTCTACAACGGCCCCGTTTGGCATCAGCGTCAAAGATTAGCGTTAGCGTTTTGAAAAAGTTATTCGACGGTAGCCTTTAGCGTTAGCGTTTTCAGAATTAATCTGTACCGTTAAAATTTTATCCAAAACGCTAACGCTAATCGAAAACGCTGTTACCAAACAAAGCCAACGAGCTTTTATTGGTTATTGTGTCAAAGTGAAAGTGGACAAAAATTTGGGGCGAGAGGGAGTATGTAATTATGTTAAAAGTGGATAAATGCAAGTAAATCATTGATTAGATAAGCATTGAAGTTACCAATAACAAATAAATATCCAGCCTAGGAATACAAATCAAACATAGTACTAGCATTCATTAAGTAACACTTATCTCATGATTATAACATTTAACTTCATAAATAAGCTTCTCTCCTTCACATAATCATCATAAGCACCTCCAAGATGAAACAGACAAAAGCTCCTTGTTTTGCCAGCTCAGCGAAAGCGACACGTGGCGCCTCTCCACGCGGAACCCGCCGACGGGCGCCATCCTCACGACGCACTCCGCCTGGGCCTCGGCAAAGCTGCTGCACGGCAGCGGCGAGAACCCAGCTGACGCGAAGAGGGTCCTCCACGGCGGCGGCGGAGACTGGTCCTGCCGGAAGACGGCGGCGGCAGCGCTCTGGATGCCGTGCCGGAAGAGGAATCTCTCGATCTTGTTCGACGCGTCCGAGGTGACGTTGGCGGCGGCGGCTATGCTGGCAAAGAGTGTCTCGAAGTATCGGACGGCGGGGATGAGGTGACGTGGCGGCGTGAGGCCCGTCCGTTCGTATCCCCGTTCGAGGGACACCACGATTTTCGGTGACAGCTGTCTCACGTAGTGGAGCAGCATTGGGAGTTTTTCGCGGTGGGCCCACAGTGGCAAATTTACCGCAATGACCTCGTTCTCGGAGGAGGCGAACGGGTGAGAGGCGGGGTCAAAAGAGTCAATGTTGACCACCTCGAGCTGGAACCCGACACCGACCTCGTCAGCTAACGCCGTCAAGTTGCCGTGCATCAGTTCGATCTCGAAGGGATGGTGGGTCGACGGAGATGCAAACGCCGTTATCTTCAGAAACCGCGCCTTCCCTTTCAGCTCCCGCATGAAAGATGACCATTGTGCCCCTACGCCGATATCGAAGTCAATGACGTGAATGCCCTTCCGCCGGCGGTCGTCGTCCCCGAGAACGGCCTCGAGAATCGCCTGGTTCGAAGTGAAGTTCATGAAAGGGACGAGGGGTGAAATCTCCGAAAAGACCTTGTAAGCGCACATCTTGAACACGCCGTCGACGGGAGACGGCGGGATGCCCGGGGGTAAATTGGGAAAGGCGAGGGACAAATCCAGAGCCTCCTTGAAGTAAAAAGAAGCCCTCTGTAATGGGGTGAGCAGAGGGGCAATTTGGTGATTGAGCCGCGCCAATATCATTTGTGCGTCCGAGAACTGCCCAGAAAGGATGAACTCTCCAGCCTTGAAGAAAAGGTCGAATATAGCCTCGTCGTTGGGGTCAAAAGGGGGTTTTCTTGGAGGAAATAAGGCCTTGTTTGGATGGAACAAAATGGGTTCTTGGGGGTGGGGGTTGAAGTTTTGTTGAAAGCTCAAACCTGAGTTCAAATCCCACATATTTGTTGGTGAGAAAATACCATTTTGACCAGATTTGCCATTGTTGATGTTATCTGCATGCACCCAAACAGTTTGAGATTAAAAAAATTTGAATCTTTTTTTTGTCCTTGCAGATGTGTTCAAGGAATTAAATAAAACAGAAAATGAAAAAAAAAAACAGAGCTCGGAAGTCAGAAAAATTTTCAAGAAACTAATTACACCAAGAATTGTGAAGGGGAAACTATTGAAAATTAAAAATATAAACTTATTTAAAATATTTAATGTGAAAATTCCAAGAAATTACCAGAAGATGGAGCAGTGAAGAACTCATCTGCAAATCCAACATTGTTCTGGAAGTGAATCTGGTTCCCACCCTGCAGAGATGGGTCGTCGATTTCGCCGGAAATCCACCGGAGAAGAGAGTCGTCGGCGTCGGCGACGCCGGATCCAGGCAGCAAACACTCCCAGTCCTCAGGACCAAGGCCAAATCTTTCGGATCCATCGACCCGACCCGGTACAAAGGCAGGTCCCGGGTGAATCTCCCCCGTCATCATCATCGCCATCCACTCTTCGCCGGGATTAAAACCCATTAAGCCGCCGCCGGCAGCGGCTAGACCGCCGAGAGAGGAGGAGGTGGTGGACGGGCTGGGACTCCTCGTATCCAGAACAGAAACGGGTTCGAACCCGCCCTGTTTCTTGAACAGAGGAGATTCAAGAACGCCTCTTTCCTGCATTCTTATCATAGATCCGAAAACAAGAGTGGGTATTTCAAGATTTCAAAGAAAGATTGAAGCTTTTTTAGCCTCTTCAATGGCGAAAGCTAAGAACTTTAGAAAAAAAGGCCTCTCTTCTTCATTGTAGCAGCTCCCAATTAAGCTCTACACCATAGCAGACCGTTTAAGCTCTTTGATGATTATCTTTTTTATCTTTTTTTTTCTGGTCTTCTTCTTCTTATCTCGGTCGGTGAAATCACAACTCCCGAGGAAGAGGAGGGACATGGTAGCCTTTTTTTACTCCCTCGGCTCCTAATTACATTACAAATTAATTTCTAACTTTTTGAAATCATTTTATGTACAAATTGGTATATCAATAAAATATAAAAATTACATATTAAAAAACTACGTTAAAAGTTCAACAAAACAAGAAGTGAGAAGAATATTTTATTTTATCAAATAATAAATGAAATCATGTGAGCAGGAAAAAAAATTGTAATCTATTCAAGGACGGAGTCGGGATTTATACCGTTGTGGTTTTTGTGTTTGCGAAGTCTGTGTTTGGAAGTGGCAAGGTGTGACCATATCTCTGCTGCTGCCTTTGGGCATTTAAAAACAAAAGTTACCCCTAAATTTCGCCTATGCGTACAAACTTTTCTATGGCTACGACTAGAACAGAAACGCATATGACTACCATCCACCTCCTTTGATTATATTAAGTACTCCCTCCGTTTCACAAAACTATTCCTCTTTCGTTTTTTTTGCTTTCCACAAAACACTTCCACTTTCTATTAAAAAACCACTTTTACCCCTACTTTTTCATACCCTATCTATCACATCATACTTTTTGACTAATAATCAAACTATCACATCTTACTTTTTCCTATCACACCAGGGGCAAAATTGGAAAATCAACCAAAATTATACTTTTCTTATTTCCCCCCAAAGTCAAAACCGGAAGAGTTTTGTGGAACGGAGGTAGTAGTTTTATTAAAGTTTAGGATATACTAATTCCGTCTTATTGTATTTGTCTAGCTTAATTTTTTTGAGTTAAATTGGAGAAATTTTGAGCTTTAATTACTCAAAATTTGTATGACATATTAGGATAATGAAATACAATTTTAAAAGTTTTCAATAAGATAAATTTAATAAAAGTATTTTAATGCTAAAATATATTACAGGTTTTATTTAATTGGATCTGAAAGTTTATCTAATTTGATTCATGAAAGTCAAACTGGATAAATACAATGAGACGAAAAGAGTATTTATCGATAGTGCTTATTGACATATAGGTGATTAACTATTTTTAATTTATAAGATGTTTAAAAGTTTTATATTCTTTCGTAAGAGTGAAATAATAGTTATGTCATTTCTGCATTTTTATAAATGGTAAGAAAAATAGTCTTATAAACAATTTGGTAAAAATAGAATTTCAAAAAACTGATTTGAAAATAAATAGGTAAGACTTATTATTTTCTATCTTATACAAGTTACTTATAATCAATTTATTAACACATGAAAATATGTCATCAGCTGATGCCATATTTCCTTGTGGTTATAAGTGAACATTTTAGTCAAAATTCTAATCCATATAGTCAAAAAACTGATGGCGTGTAATTGCGGGGAGTAAGGGGGTCGTGAGGGAGCGAGATCGGGAGTGGATGTTTATTAAGAATAGAAATCGTTAATTTTACGAACACAATATCTTATGTTTAGTGTTCCAATTGAAACAGTATCACGAAGTTACATTATTTGAGATGATGTAACTCTACTATTCCTCAATAAAAATATATCTAAACTTATGAGAAATTAGTTATATTCTTGATAGTATAAATCTTACTATCTTAGATAATTTTAACTTAAAAAATGCATATTTTTTTATATGTTGAATTACCAATCAGCTACCTACGCTTTATAAAATGAAACTCAAAACTTATACTCTCTCCATCCCTTTAAACATGAGATGTTTTGATTTTGAAGAAATTTAAGGGAAGTGTATTTTGGTATTAAGTTTCTAAAAATGTCCTTTGATGTGATGGATAAAATTAGGATTTGATGGGTAGATTATTAGTAAAAAAGTATGGTGTGATAGATAGGATATGAAAAAGTAAGTGATAAAAGTAACATTTTAATAGAAATAAGAAGTATTTTTTAAAACATGTGAAAAAAAGAAAAATTTTCAGGGGGAGAGTATATGGAAAGGAGTCAATAAGTATCACACGACTAGTGAGTAATAATTTTGTTTCAAGATGCACTATTCAAATTAGTCACACTCTCACGCAATTCAAATTATGAATAGTTGTGTTTTTTTTACCAAACGTGACCACATCCTCCGTAGCTTGAATGATTTTGCGGGTCCATTTTGAATCCCAAAAATAGTGCTCGATCCAGTGTAGAAAATAAAATACTCCCTAGTATGTAGGAGTGGGCAAACGGGTCAAGGAGTCGGGAGTTGGAATGGAATTACAGGTTTGGTCCCGGTTAGAGGCGGGTCTTTTTTTCAAATATTATAACGATTAGGGTCGATCCGGTCCTTGTAGGTTTTAGGGTCAGTCCTGTTCTCCATTTTGAAATTGTCCAGAACCCAGACCGAACCGCTTTTTAGTGCCTTGTATTATTATTAATAATTACACCGGGAACAACGTCCTTACGAGTTACGCCCTTACCCCTCCTTGTTATTGTTATTTCTTCATTTAGGCATCTTTTTTTTGTGTGGGAAGACTCAAAACTGACAATGGGAGTAGTATATTGTTGTGGACTAATGGTGAATGACCATGTATGTATTATTAATTTATTATCACTTTATTTTTTTAATATTAATATCAGGTTCGCACCCGTTGACCCGTGGAATCGGTCCGTTTGAAACAAGCTGGGTTTGATCCAATTTAAACCGTTTTAATAAAAACCACCCGAGTTCGATTTATACAAATCTTGGCTCGGACCAGCCCGTGCCCACCTCTACTAGTATGTATGAAGTATTACCTTCGTTCATCAAAACAGTTCCTATCTTGATTTTTACAGGATTTATATTTGTAATTTGACCTTTTGTATAAATCACTAACATCAAAAAGAAAAGAGAGACAAATCACTTAAATAATTTATTATACCAATGCAAAATGGATAGAGTATATTGCATTGATTTTATTTCGATATATTAGTTATTTTAATGAAAAAAGGAAGTGTTTTGTTGAAAACAAAAATCTGATGTAATCTAAAAATGTATAAGTTTTAAAATGGAACTCTAATATAATTTTTAAATGTGTGTAAGTTTTCTTTCTTATTTTTACACATATTTTTAAATAAAGTAAATTGAAAAACTTAAAATTTTGTTTTATTTTGCGTAATACTCTGTATGACATTTTTTTTTGGGACGGAGGAGTATGAATGGAAGAGAGGACATATATCTACCTAACATCACTCCTCAAACTAATTACACTAATTAATCTCATTTTGTTTCCTTAAATAAGTAACGTATCTAATCTATAAATCCGTTAGTGTGGCGTCTAACGGAGGGAGCTCAACCCTTTTTGGGCTAAACCCGATGCTACCTTTTTGTTTGTTGCAAACGGTATGGGCGCCCATTTATCTACCCACAAGTCACCCAGCAAGCAACTTGTTTGAATTTACTCGGTACTTAGAAAAAATAGAAAGCCGAGTAAAATTCACCCGTGAGTGAAATCTTAAATTTTGTCAATTCATTTGATTTGGAAATTATGTGGGGTGATATCGCTACATGATTGCGATATAAGAATTAACATACAAATAAAATTTAAAAAAATTTGATAGACTAAATAAATCGTGCAAATATTTTTGGATTAAAGTTATTGCAAGCTAGATGTAACAAAATATTTCAATTAGATAAGACGTTAATTAGTATCTACAAATAATGTATATATGGAAGTTCTCTATTAGTCAAACATACCTTGAGACTCCTTTAATATAGAGCAAACAGCTACAAACTAATCAGACACGTCTATTGATGAATTAACAAAACTTTACGTAGTACATTCGAATTGCTTTAATCACTAGTTCAATAATTTGTTTGGTGACTTTTAAGTCTTAATTTATATATACAAACCAATAATATAACAATTTTGACAAAATTAAATAATTGAGTATCACAGAAAAATAGTTGAATGTTATTTTTATAACTATACTCTTGCGCTAAAAAATGTAGGAAACTCCACAACGTACTGACACCATTTTTAATATCATAGTGTCTCGCAATCACACACAAACAATAATTATTTGCGCGAAAATAATTCCCGCACTTTTATGAGACACCATAATGTCGAATACTCCCTCCTCCCCAAAAGATCCTCACAGTTCATTATTCAAAAATCACGAAAATTTTTATTTATTTTTCCGTTTTCGTCGATTATTTGATAAAACAAAACAATTTTTTACTGCTTGTTTTGAATAACTTCTAGCATAATTTTTAAATGAATAAATTTTATTTTTTATCTCGATACTAATCTTTAAAATAAAATAAATTAAAAATTAAAAATTTTATTTCACTTAATAATAGACCTTGTAGGAAGGAGGGAGGATGAATTTTTCCTAACATGGTTGATTGAGATGGCACATTATTGGCACAGTGGGGATTGTTTTGTCATTTTGAAGGAAAAAAGGCTGCCAATGTTTGCAAATTTTTTCTTTTATCCTTTGAGTTTTTGTCTCATTTTGTCTCACAAATATGGCAAACCATCCAATTGCCCAAGCGGCCCTCAGTTATCATGATTTTTCCTTCTTCTCCTCCTCATCTTGGTTTTGACTATTGACTTTCAAATATACTATAGATTTACTCATTGATTTTGCACTCTAATAACTCAAACTAACACATCAAACAAAAACACATATTTTATTCCATCAATCAACTTAGAAAGATTTGTTCTTTCAAACTTGTTTATTTTCCTCCTAGTCCATTTTAATAACACAATGATATACACATAGTGAATGAGATAAAAATTAAAGTGAAACAGAATAAATAACCGTTGAGAAATACAGAGTAACATGTACTTTTGTCATTGCATTGGAAAATTTCAAGTTGTAGAGCGATTTTTTCACTACTAAATGATTAAAAGTTTGAATTCTTAACTGGGACGAAGGGAGTAACTAAACAGATGACACTTAATCGATTTGTAGTAGCTAGTAATAATAGCCGATCAACAATTTTTTTACAAACTGCTACATATATATGCAAAGTTAATTAGCAGAATGTTAAAATGTAAAATAAAATATGAGTATTGCTCTGTATTTTCAAAATGTTAACTTACCAAACACTTTAATCACTATTTTGAAAAAAGATACATGCATTTACGTTACTGATTAGTGTTAGCATTTTGGATAAATCATAGAAAATACATTCTTTTTGGCTAGCATTTAATAGACATTTTGGCAAAAGATTATCTAGGGAATAGATTTCAATTACAAAGGACTAGCTAGATTGGTCATTAATGCTTATTGAAAACTAATTTGGAAAAAATACTTTATTATAAAAAACCGTTTTGAAAATTCACTCTACAAATAATTTACACAATGCTAATATGCAATATAGTTTGAGAATAATTAATGAATAAAATTTAACTAATTTGACTTTAAAAAACTAAAGTGGACAAATTTATTAGAGTAATGTACTCCCT